TGAAAGCTTTTCACTGTCATATATATAACCGTGATTGGCATTTTTCATGTAAGTATTTTACTTGTATTTCTGTGCATATGAGTACGATGTTATAAGAATGATTTTTATTTAAGATCTCTTCTTCTGCTAAAGTATGTTCTTTGTTCTATATTTAGGTGGCACAAAGGACTATAAAGTTCTTATGGACGAGTTTCATCACGTTTCAACTGCGTTCCTAGAACTCGGGAGAGGGTTGGTTATTACTTGGAACCTAGCCTGATGCTTTCTGAAAAAGACAACTAATTATTGATCAAGACCTGTTTCCTTCTATAAGTGTAGTGATAGATTTATTCATTGGATTCTATCCTTTTAATGAACTACAATGACAATGATTGGTTATGGGTGGGGGTTGTGAGATCCCAACTCGGTTGGGGAGGAGAACGAAGCATTATTTATAAGGGTGTTGAAACCTCTCCCTAACAGATACGTTTTAAAAACCTTGAGGGGAAGCCTAAAAGGGAAAACCCAAAAAGGACAATATCTGCTAACGGTGGGCTTGGGCTTATACAAATGGTATCAGAGCCAGACATTGGGCGATATGCCAGCGAGGACGCTGGGCTCCGAATGGGGTGGATTGTGAGATCCCACATTGGTTGGGGAGGAGAACGAAGCATTCTTTATATGAGTGTGGAAACTTTTCCCTAGCAGACGCGTTTTAAAAACCTTGAGGGTAAGCCAGAAAAGGAAAGCCCAAACGGTGCGATGTTCTTTCTGATTTTAATTTACTGCATCCTTGCAATTACTTCTGTTATTGTTTTCAAAAAACAAGCTTTTATGACTACAAAAAATAGAACTGCAAGAGATTAGATCAACAACTTGTCCAAGTCAAGAGTAACCTTTTCATTTTTGGTATCAAATAAAAAGGCCTCCAATTTGTCAAAGTTTTTAAAATGGAACATCAGAAAAGCTTTTGCATAGAACATCTCTGATTCTGACCAAAAGTTCTTCCGTGCTTAGCTAACTGTGCTGAATTGATTCTGCAGGTACCAGGAAGCAATTGAGGATATCACGAAACGGATGGGCGCAGGAATGGCCAAATTCATTTGCAAAGAGGTACAACAAGTGTCTTGCATTTGCATATTTAGTATATTTGACACAATAATTTTCTTACAATTGTGTAACCGCCCAAGGCCACCACTAGTAGATATTATCTTCTTTAGGTTTTCCTTCCGTTGTTCCCCTCAAGGTTTTTAAAACGCGTTTTCTAGGGAGAGGTTTCCACACCCTTGTAAAGAATGTTTTGTTCTCCTCCCCAACCAATGTGGGATCTCACAATTCACCCCCTCCGGGGCCCAACGTCTTCCCTAGCACTCGTTCCCTTCTCTAATCGATGTGGGACCCCCCAATCCATCTCTTTGGGGCCTAGCATCCTCGCTAGCACTCGTTCCCTTCTCGAATCGATGTGAGACCCCCCAATCCATCCCTTTGGGGCCCAGCGTCCTCTCTGGCACTCGTTTCCTTCTCCAATCGATGTGGGGCCCCCCAATCCATCCCTTCGGGGCCCAGCGACCTCGCTGGCACTTGTTCCCTTCTCCAATTGATGTGGGGCCCCCAATCCATCCCTTCAGGGCCCAGCGTCCTCGCTGGCACTCGTTTCCTTCTCCAATCGATGTGGGACCTCCCAATCCATCCCTTTGGAGCCCAGTGTGATGGTCCAGCGCCCTCGCTGGCACTCGTTCCCTTCTCCAATCGATGTGGGACCCCCCAATTCATCCCTTTGGGGCCAGCGTCCTCGCTAACACTCATTCCCTTCTCCAATTGATGTGAGACCCCCCAATCCATCCTTTCGGGTTTCAGCGTCCTTGCTGGCACACCAGCTCGTGTCCACCCTCCTTCGGGGTTCAACGTCCTCGCTGGCACATTGCTCAATATCTGACTTTGATATCATTTGTAACAGTCCAAGACCACCGCTAGCAAATATTGTCCTCTTTGGACTTTTCCTCAAGGTTTTTAAAATGCGTCTACTAAGGAGAGGTTTTCACACCCTTATAAAGAATACTTCGTTCTCCTCCCCAACCGACGTGGGATCTCACATTTTCTTTTTCCTTCCCACCCAATAGAGTAATATATTAGTAATGGTTAGTAAGGAACGTGGCTAAAGTAATGCATTGATTGGAGAAGAGAACTGAAGCATTTCTTCTCTTCTCGTAGGTAGAGACAGTTGAAGATTATGATGAATATTGTCACTACGTAGCTGGACTTGTCGGACTAGGTTTATCCAAGCTGTTCCACGCTTCGAAGTCAGAGAATTTGGCACCCGATTCTCTTTCAAATTCTATGGGATTGTTTCTTCAGGTCAGCTATTATAATTGAAACGATCATTGTGCTTTCGAACAATTCATTAATCGGTGTTGAAGTTTGACTCTGATGTACTCTTTTTCGAACTATTATAACACAGAAAACGAATATTATTCGAGATTACTTGGAGGATATCAATGAGATACCAAAGTCTAGGATGTTTTGGCCTCGTGAGATTTGGAGCAAATATGCTGATAAACTAGAGGTGCACAAGTCTACATACCTTCTACCGCCTTTTGGTTTCTTCTTTCGTGTTCTTCGTCGTCTTCTTGTCTTATCGGCTCGTTCTACTCTTTTCTGCATTACAGGATTTTAAATACGAGAAGAATTCAGTCAAGGCCGTGCAATGCCTCAATGATTTGGTCACTAATGCATTGACCCATGTGGAGGATTGCCTAGAATACATGTCTAACTTGAAAGATCTTTCCATATTTCGATTTTGTGCAATCCCTCAGGTATGAAATAAATGTTGCTGTGTTCATCTCTTTCATGTCAAGAACAGTAGACATCTCTTTCATGTTATGATAGATTATGGCAATTGGAACACTAGCATTATGCTACAACAATGTTGACGTCTTCAGAGGGGTCGTCAAAATGCGTCGGGGTACGATTTCCATTGACTGTTTCATTTTGTACAACTCCCAAAAAGGGAGCTAACCTTCATGGAATCGACCCATAGCTTGAATTTTTATGGTGTCCGTTCTACAGGTCTTACTGCAAAGGTCATTTATCGAACGAAAACGATGGCTGACGTCTATGGAGCTTTCTTTGATTTTTCTGTTATGCTGAAGGCTAAGGTAGAAATCGTCCTGTCAGTCTCGGTGATTGCTCGGTGACTGTATATCGTTTTTCTGCATAAATATCGCATCATCTAACGTTGCTTAATGAAACTAACTTCCTTGGGTTCTACAGGTCAACAGCAGTGATCCTAATGCTTCTAAAACCCTGACCAGGATTGAGGCAATACAGAAAACATGCAAGCAGTCAGGGCTATTGAACAAGAGGTTCGTATTTTTCGTCCTCGGTCGATTTGTTACCTATCTTTCAACCTTAAAATCCTCCGAGCACTCTGAAACGTTCCATCGTGTTATTGTTCACCAGGGAATTGTATGCAGTACGAAGTGAGCCCATGTGCAATCCAGCTGCGGTGAGTTTCTATTACTCGATCACATCAAAAACGATATCGTTGTAGTGTAAGAATATCTGATGATGTTTTTGTTGTTTCGATCTAGATTGTCGTACTTTTCAGCCTATTATGCATCATTCTCGCTTATCTCTCCGCTAAACTATTACCAGCTAACCAACCAGTATGAACGTCAAAGTCCGGTAAGATCGATAAATCAAACACAAGAATGTATGTCGTCGTTTATGTTCTCAGTTCGGTTTCCTCGAATACAGGGTACGAGTTTCAACAGAACGCACCGTGAACATGGGCAGTATGTTTCAGTTTGTAGCTCAATTATTGTCTGCGTTTTGTTTGAATATTACAATGGCTGTAAGTTAGTGTTTGTTTAGTACAGAGCATGAAACAAGTGAAATTCTGTAACCTTCTAATTCTTCTTTTTCAATCTTCTAGTAAGAGATTACGTCTTGGAATTATAATTTCTTCACAAATGGTGTTTCAGTACCCTGTGGATTGTTTATTTGTGTTTTATTATTTTTTTTCCAGAAAAAAAATAATAAAGGTTAAGTGTTTTCTTTTAAAACTTGAACTTCCAAATACTAATTTAGCTCGTATTACTCGTGTTTCATATTTGTATTATCAAATGGTGCTAATCATGGCCAAAATGAGAAAAGTTGCAGGCAGCTCAAACCAATTTTCACGCAACCTAAGCTTCTAGGCTATGACTCAACAAATCTCAAAAATTCCATCCGGGTGTAGCACTAACATATGCGAGCTATTAGGCATTTTTTTTCAATATCTCGTTGAGAAGAGTAAGAAAAAACATCGATGGGAATTCAAGACAACCCCCAACATGCACCGTTGCTCCATCGAACCTCTTTCTCACATAGTCGAAAGTGGGTTCGTGAACCATGTGCAAAGAAGGGGCTTCGACCTGATCTTAGGCTATGACTCATTAAAAATTAAACACAGTTAATTTAACTCTCTAATTTAAATAACACCTTCATTTTCGAGGGTCCCAAATTACAATTTTTTTTATCTAATAAACCTATAAATTTTAATCATTAATCATGTCTTATAAAAATTTAAACATATTCATTTAAAAAAAAAACCCAACTTATCTATTAGATTTCAATTAAATTTTCAACCATATCTTATAAAATTTTAAACAAATTCAATTTTTTAAAAAAAGACCAACTTATCTATTAGATATAGAATCAAATGATTCATATAATAAAACATTAAACTTTCAATTTTTTTGCATGCCAGATACATAAATGGGACAAAATTTAAGATGATTTTATCTCATTCCCACAGAAAATCCTGAACAAAGTAAAATTAAGATTTAAATATTTTTCCAAGAAGATAAAGCATAGGTAAGAAATTGGGAATCAGTTTTGTAAAAGCCGTTGGAGGCCGCCGCCTCAAACGGAGGAGAAAGTGATATTCAGGGACTACCAAACTGACTATAAAAAGAGGCGTAACCAACCCAACGATATAACAAAATTCAAAGTCCTGTTAAGTTTTGCTTACCAGGAAGATGATGAAGGTGACAGTAGCCTCAATCCTGGTGCTTTTACTCTGTTGCTGGCCGGCTTTGGCTGCTGCTCGTGAAGACCATGTCAAGTACAAGGACCCGGCACAGCCGCTAAACATCCGAATCAAGGACCTAATGGATAGAATGACTCTAGCAGAGAAGATTGGGCAGATGACCCAGTTGGATCGCTCTGTCGTCACACCGGAGATTGTTAGAGATTACTCCATTGGCAGCGTGCTTAGCGGCGGAGACAGTGCCCCATCTCTACAGGCTACTGCACAGGTGTGGATTGACATGGTGAATTCATTCCAACAGGGCTCACTATCAAGTAGGCTTGGCATTCCAATAATGTATGGCATTGATGCCGTCCATGGTCATGGCATTGTCTACAATGCCACAGTCTTTCCCCACAATGTTGGTCTTGGAGCAACCAGGTGATAATATATGGATGGAGGATTCGAACCTGTCGTGCACCGACACAGAATTACTTGTGGCTAAATAGTTTTCTCATGTGTCAGGGAACCTGAACTTCTAAGGAGAATTGGAGCTGCTACTGCTAGAGAAGTTCGAGCAACGGGGATCGATTATGTCTTTGCTCCGTGCATAGCAGTATGTCTTACTGAATTCATTTCCCCCTTTTACCACATTCCCACATTAAAGCATGTTTGATTCAAACAGAACTATGAACATTTTCATCTCAGGTCTGTAGAGATCCTCGATGGGGAAGGTGTTACGAAAGCTACAGCGAAGATCCCGACATCGTCAAAGAAATGACAGATATCATAATTGGACTGCAAGGACAAATCCCATCTGGGTTTTCAAAAGGAGTTCCTTATGTTGGTGGAAGGTAACTTTTCAACCACTAGAGATTTGGATGTTTATCCATTTCAAGGAACCTAATTGAAAAACTTCTTGGCCTCATAACAGAAACAAGGTTGCAGCTTGTGCAAAGCATTTTGTTGGCGATGGTGGCACAACAAGGGGTATCAATGAGAACAACACTGTGATCAGCAGGCATGGACTGTTGAGCATTCACATGCCAGGATACTATCACTCCATAATCAAGGGTGTCTCTACAATAATGGTTTCCTACTCCAGTTGGAACGGTAAGAAGATGCATTCAAATCATGAACTCATCACTGAGTTCCTTAAGAACACTCTCAAATTCAGGGTATGTATGACACTAAATCTTCATGAATGATATGGTTATACAAGCCCCTAAATTTGAACGGACAAACTATTGCAGGGTTTTGTAATTTCTGATTGGGAAGGTATTGATAGGATCACAGACCCAGCTCATTCAAATTACACATTCTCGATTCTATCAGGAGTTCAAGCAGGAATAGACATGGTAAGATTATCAACATAGGCAATCTCAATGAACATGGCATCTTAGATCTTACAAAACTAGTTTTACTGTCGTGTTTCAGTTCATGGTTCCTACAAATTACAAGGAGTTCATCGATGGCCTTACCTACCTTGTCAACAGCAAGGCTGTTCCGATGTACCGAATCAACGACGCTGTAAGGAGGATCTTGAGAGTCAAGTTCGTAATGGGGCTGTTTGAGAATCCATTGGCCGATGACAGATTTGTAAATGAGCTTGGAAGCCAGGTTAATTGACCTAAAAACACAAAGAAACTTAGTTTGAATATCATTTTGACAAATCTAGCAATTCAATTGAACAGGAACACAGAGATTTGGCAAGAGAAGCAGTGAGGAAATCACTTGTTCTATTGAAGAACGGCGAAAATGCAGATGATCCAGTTCTTCCTCTGTCGAAGAAGGCGCCGAAGATCTTAGTAGCCGGAACTCACGCTGATAATCTAGGTTACCAGTGCGGCGGTTGGACGATCAAATGGAAAGGACTCAGCGGCGACAATCTCACAACCGGAACCACCATCCTCGAGGCGGTGAAGAAAAGCGTCGATCCAAACACGGAGGTCGTACACGACGTAAGTCCGACGGCGGATTACGTGAAGGCGAACAACTTCACGTACGCCATTGTCGTGGTAGGAGAACCGCCCTACGCCGAGACCAATGGCGACAACTTGAACCTGACTATCCCGGAAGGAGGCTTGGACACGATCCAGCACGTGTGCAACGTCGTCAAGTGCGTCGTTGTCCTCGTCTCCGGCCGACCCCTGACGATTCATCCGTACATGTCGCAGTTGGACGCGCTCGTGGCAGCATGGCTGCCGGGAACAGAGGGCGAGGGCGTCGCCGACGTACTGTTCGGTGATTATGGGTTCACCGGAAAGCTGGCGAGGACGTGGTTCAAAACCGAGGATCAACTTCCGATGAACCATGGAGACGAGAATTACAATCCGCTTTTCCCTCTGGGATTTGGGCTTACAACTGAGCCTGTTAACAAATCTAGCTAGGGCTTCTGTTCATAAAGAATTAGGAGTTCTAAATTTTTGGATTTTTTTTTTTTTTTTCTAGTAATTAGAAAGCAAAATCTAGTCTTTATTAAATTAATGGATAAGGATTTCCTTCACTAATTTTTTTTTTAGAATAAGTTTAATTTTTTAAAATAAATAATTATAGTTGCACACGTTATTTATTTGAATTAAAATTTGTGGTCGATTTTGGTAAAGTTAATTTAAAAAAAAAATAATAATTGAAAATTTAGGTGGGTTGACATTTTTTTTTGTTCGGTTGACTCGTTAAGCCATGCATGTGTAAGTATGAACTAATTCAAATGGTGAAATTGCGAATAGCTCGTTAAATCAGTTATAGTTTGTTTGATGTAACCGTAGTAATTATAGAGATAATACGTGCAACAAACCCCGACTTCTGGATACGTGCAACAAACCCCGACTTCTGGAAGGGATGCATTTATTAGATAAAATGAGATGCGTGCTCTGCCCGTTGCTTTGATGATTCATGATAACTCAATGAATCGCACCCGTTGCTTTGATGATTCATGATAACTCAATGAATCGCACGACCAACGTGTCGGCTTTCACAATCAGTGGGGCGAATGCGCCTCAAGAAAGACTAACTTGAATTAGGGTTACAATCCAATCCAACCTACCCTAGTTTTAAAATAAATATTTGATGTATATTTGATGTTTGTAATAATGTATCGTGACGTATTTAATATTTGAATTTTATGAGATTTTAGTTATTAATGTAACATGTATTACAAGTGAATATAATTTTTTTAAAAAAATAATTAAAAAAAATTGACAATCCAACTCAACTTGAATTGGGTTCGATAATTTGGGTGTGAGCTCTAGCTCACCAACTATTAAAATAAAATAAAAGGTCAGAATTAAATTATAAATAAAATGTCATATAAATTAAGAATTAAATTATAAAAAAATGTAAAATAGAAATAAATTAAAAGAAGATTTAATGAATTACTAAACAAATAGAGTGGGTAAAATTGGTTGATGAGTGGGTATTTTTCAATTCCAAATTGTTTATATTATTTTTCCTTTTAAAATATCATTTTTCCATAAATAATCATATAAAGATTGACCTCTTCTGTTTGATCCCTTTTACGACCATAAAATTATTGCTAATTTCAATCCCTAAATTTTATTTTAATTAATTTTTTAAACCATTTGCTTTTACCTCCCATTCATCAAATACAGTAATAATAAGTGCAACTAATTATAAAAAATATAAATTAATAAATTAAAACTGTGTGGAAAAAATGACAATTAATTTTATTTTTTTGGTTATTTTTTAAATTATATATATATATATATATTATTTTCCCTCCCTTCTCAAAATTATTTTTTAAATATTTTAAAAATATATATTAAAATTGAGTTGCAAATTTTAACAAAATAAGTAAAAAAAATTATTTATCAACTATTATTTTACTTTAATTAAAAAATACAATTTTAAATAAATAACTCGAACAACTTGACCAAACTCAACCCAGAATTTAATTTTGGGTTAGGATTGACTCATTATTATTTAATAGGATTGACTCATTATTATTCAACAGTTCTAACTCGACTCAATTCAACCTATAAACACCTTAATTGAACTAATAGCTCTTTAAGAATATAGCTATAAAACATTTAAAAATTAATTCGTATAATATTAATAAAAGAAATCAATTGGCCTAAAGTCAACCCGAGTCTTAAATTTATTGATTTTAGAAACAAGAAAAAAAAAATTTAGTAGATAGAATAAAGTTTTATTTATGGAGATACTAAAACAATGGGTGGTTGGTCCACAAGTTTTTAATAAACATAATTAACATATAAATACTAAATTTACAATAAACTTGGTCAACTAGTGGATTTTTTTTAGTGTCAACGTCACAATCTATAATTGAATATTCTAAGAACATTTATGAGCTAAATTTGCTAAAATTGGAATTTTAAAATTTGAATATTCTAAAATGATGAGATTATTAACCATAATAATAATAATAATGAAATAAATAAATTAAATAAGAAGATAAGATGGGGCAAGTGGACGGTGAAAAAGCTTGCTTTCGTCAAAGATGGCCGAACATCGATTTTGCCAAAAAAAAAATTATATTTAAAAAAATCCAAAACAGTAAAAATCCACTAGCTTAATTTATTATTATTATTATTATTTGGAATTTTGTATTTCAATTAAATAAATAATTTTAAAATTCAGGCGGCTCGGGACGTACAGGATTTGAATCGAGTTGAGTTAGAGAAATCTTCTGGATCAATCTGAAAGTATAGACGGATCGTGTTGGTGGCCAAAACAAGCTGATCAGTGTTTACAACTCAATTATAATACATATGTTCATAACTAAAATTTAATAAAATGTCAAATATTCACAAGTCACGGTTCATCTCTAACATTGGTTATACTAGTAACATATTAGGGTTCGGTTAGGTTATAACTTATTTTTCGGGTTATAAAAATAATGTAAATTTGCAAGTTGACCCAAGTTTTTGATTTTTCAAAAATTCAACCCAATCCAAATCGAGAGGAAAAAAGAAAATCAACCCGTACCAGATTTCGTCATGTAGTCATTTGAACCTTCTCAATTCAAGCCGTTCTCACCTACTTTTTATCTTTTATCTACTCATCATATTTATCTTAAACTTAATCTTAATTATTTAATCGTAATTAAAAATTTTAATATCTCAAAAAACATATAAATAATATGCTATTTTTATTTAATCTATTGTTTTTATATTACCTACCAAGGTGATCTTAAAATAATTTTTATTGGAACCAAATAAAATGTGGAATTTATATAATTTTTTTTAAAACTTAAGTTTAGACATTTATTATATAGTTAAATCCCCTATGGTCCCATTTAACTAAAAAAACAGTATCTAATATATGGATATTTGGAACAACATGCTTATTAAATTTATTTTAATTAACTTAATGGATGTGAAATATAATTAAATTGATAAATACACGTGTTATGTGTAACCGAAAAAAATCAATTGTTTTAGTTGACTTACCACCGTAAATGTCTTATCTCTCAATCTTTGAGGGACAATTTGACGAGCTCTTTGTCATAATCTCACTCTTGCACTAACAGGATAATAATTGTGCGACACTTATTTTAACCTAATGAATAAGTTAGTCATGTGAAATTCACACTTCGCGAACAATATCGACGTACGAGAGAAATGTTTTAGAAAACATGAGTGAGAAAATACGTTGAAAACAATTTTTAGAGAAAGCTTTATTGTAAGCTAAAAGCGAGTATGTAACGATCTACCTAGATCCACCGCTAGCAGATATTGTCCTCTTTCAGCTTTCCCTCTCCTCCCCATTGCAGTACATCGTTCGGTGTTTGGCTCTAATACCATTTGTAATGACCCAGATCTACCGCTAGCAGATATTGTCCTTTTTGGGCTTTCCCTTTCGAGCTTCCTCTAAAGGCTTTAAAACGCGTCTACTAGGAGAAGGTTTCCACGCCCTTATAAATGGTGGTTTGTTATCCTCCCCAACCAATGTGGGTCATCACAGAGTAGGCAACAACAACGGTTTTGATAGCATATAACCCAAGTAGAAAGAATTGACAACTAGTCACATCAGTTTGAAGTACATTTTGGAGTATTTTAATATTGATGGGAGTAGATTTAGGTGAACAATCATATACCCTATCTTGACACAACATGAAATAATAAAGGTCTATCTAACATGAAAGAATTGTAAAAGGGATTTGGAACGAGCATTCGATTATGAACAGCACGTTTTAAACAACCATGACTGAAACATCTGACATGTGCAACACAAATTGCCAATAAGATGTCGTGTGGTGCAACAATTAAATTATGTAATGGACAAAATATTTATTTTTATTTAAATAAACTTGTATTTATTGATTTAAATTTTTTTAAATAGACTAAATTAATAAAAATATTTTTAAATTGTGCCTGCTCTCAATAATAATAAAATTCGTATTAATTTATGAAAAAAGAAAAGGAAAAGGTGAATTATGCCACGCGCTCACGGTGCCTGCCAACGCGAGTTTCCATAATCTATCACTAATAAACAACAATACAGGATCAATCACCCCGTGCATTTCACGAGCCTCGCAATTTACCGTTCGATTGAAGGAATTATCCATCGGACGGTGGTGGATTATTACACGCGCCTGTGAGGTAGGGTAATAAGAGGCGCACAAAGCCCGCCAGAAAAGCATGCGTATAAAAGTTTAAAAAGAAAAAAAAAAAAAAAAAAGGAGGCAATTTAGAATCGTAATTAACGCGCCAAAATCCAAAAAAGCTTAAAAATCTATTTTCGTAAAAATAATCGAAATTTCAACGCACAAAAAATAGGAAATTTATTTAACCAAGGCTTCATCTCAACATCCAATCTTGACCCTCCATCTCTCTCATTTGTGGGTCCCACGTTTTGAATTCGGTCTAAAAATCAAATTATCCATATATGTCTTAATTAATTGAATTAAGTCAGTTCAACCATAAGTGGGAGTGAATAATTGAATATTGAATGGTTCAAGTTCGAACAATATTTAAGGCTCGTTGAACTTGAGCTTAGACTCGAGCCTTGGCTTGATGATGTTGAGTCGGGTTAAGTCCGGCCTACGAGATGAGAGGTAAAAATGAAGTCTCCTTACCAAAAAAAAAAAAAAAAAAAAAAAAAAAAAAAAAAAAAAAAAAAAAAAAAAAAAAAAAAAAAAAA